GGGGGGCGGGGGGGCCGGGGTCCCCGACGCTGCCCGAAGCCACCCCGATCGCGAGGTCCCGGTGTAGCCGAACTCCTGGGGACTGCCCCGGGGCGCAGTGCCTCCGACAGCTTTCTCCCGCCTGGCTGCCTGCGGACCCGCGCCCCGACGCCCACGTCTCCCCAGGATTTCAGAGCCCCCGCGGCGGTCTGCGAGCCGCGGGAGAGGGGGACGCAGCGTCGGTCGGTTCGCTACCCTCTGTGCGTTTGCGCCCTCAGCGTGTGCCGCTTGTGGAGCGAGTGTGTGCGCAGAGTGCTGCGGACCCACCGGAGTGTGACCTGGATCTCCGCCGGCCTGGCCGACGCCGGCCGCCTGGAGGGACACTGCCTGGTCCGCGTGGTGGCCGAGGAGCTCGAGGCAAGTGAGACGCGTGTCGCGCACAGTCAGGGGCAGGGTTGGTGGGCCGGTGTTTGAGGACTAATGGCTTTTCCCTTTACATCCCAGTTTGCATGTAGCTCGTTTTTGTTAATTTAGGGAGTATTTTCTGGTGTCACGAGCGATCTCGTAAACGTTCGTTTCAGTGATTGCTGCCCAGCCGTGCCGTGGTGTGTGTGTTCATCAGGTGCTGGGCATCTAAGTACCCAGTATCCAGGTTAATGATGATGCGGGCAGACCCTCCCTTCACCTGTTTCTCCCGAAGCAAGTGTCGCCTCTGTTCTGCAGGGAAGGCAGCTGGGGGTGTTTTGCTTGGAGACACACAGCTGTGAGAGCTCAGTACCAAAACTTACATCCCAGTCTTTGAGCCCTAGGTCTGTATCTCTTGCGGTTTCCACAGGGTGGCCCGTACTTGGGGAGGTGGAGGCAGGGGGACAGGGATGCTGTGGTATCTCGTTTGGGCCTGGAAGGACCCGTTTGAGAGTACGTGCCAGCTTGATGCTCAGTCTTCATACTTCAGCGTGGCTCGTGTACACACAGGAACATTCTATATAACTAGGACACAGCCATTGCTATCAGGTGTTGTCGCTGATAAGTGGTGGAGACAGTCCTGCTCAGGTGCTGCCGTGATCCCAGTAACGGCCTTCACAGCTGCGGGGTTCAGTTCAGAACGGCAAGTCTCCTGGCCTGTCTGTAATCTCCTTTGAGACAGAACACTGGCAGGCTTTCCCTGACTTCCCTAACCCAGCACCTGTCCACGTTACCGATCAGTTATGTGGTAGAACACGGTCAACTCGTCCATGTCTGGTGTTTCTTACCGGGTTCAGGTTATGTGTCTTGGGCGAGCGTGGCACATCCCCATGCGCCCTTTTTTTTGATCTCTGATTATGGGATTAAGTGGGATCATCCAGGTGCTCCACTGTGAAATGACTCCTCCACTCTGTTTTGTGGGAAGATACTTTTTGTAACTATGTAAACATCCTGTTTCATTTTATTCCTTTATCTCTGAATACACTCTTGGGCTCTTTATTCAGTGAGATGTTACTAGCAGGATTTATTTTGGTGCTCAAATTGTCCCCAGTTCTGCTAGCGGGAGCCCTTCACGCTGGCTCCAGTGACTTCACCAGTCCCCTTTGCCTTCTGGCGCCAGGTGTCACCTGTTTTGCATTTCCGGTTCTGGGATTGGCCGTTTCTCCGAGAAACCTTGGTCCCCTTTAGTGGAGGATGATATTTAATGAGTTTCCAGTTTTCTCTCTTCATATTTGCGTCTCCCTTTTGGACGGTGAGAAACCCTGGCTGTCATCATTCTTGATATTCTTAGAATCAGAGCTCGATATTCTCAGAATCTCATCACTAGCCTTCGTCTCTCCTTCCTCCTTCCACCTGGTGTAGTTTTCCTGAATGCCATTTGGCCCTGTGGCTCAGGTCCCAGCAAAGGCAGGCTTGGGAGAAAACGAACTTCTCTGGTTCTTTGGCCCAAATGCTGCTATATGTTTCCAGACTTCTGTCATTTGGAAAAATCGAAGGTGCAAGCGAAGACCTTTTCCACCAAAATGTTCTTTGGAGCATCATTTAAAATAAGGGACATTTAAAACAAGGAATGTTTGTCCAATAAGTGGAGTCATTAAATGGTAAATTGGATGGTGTGTTGATAACAAGAAAGAATGTTAATGTTAAAAGTAAAAGAAAAGAAAAACCAGGGTCGGCAAGTGGCATGGTGGTTAAGGCTCTGTATTCCCACAAAGCCGATCACGGTTCAAGTGTCAGACCTGGTGGCTTGCTTTCTCACTTCTGTCTTTCTGTTTAAATTTTAAAAATAATAAATAAAAATTTAGGAAGAAATTATAAGAAGAGAAAGAAAAGATTTTTAAAAAGTGAAGGAAAAAAACCCAGCTGTTTCCCACAGGCTGACGGTCGCACACCCCACTGGGAGGTTGCCGTTGACAGGTGGGCTGGGATCGGACCTCTCTGTCACCTTGCCAGCCTGGCTTTAAGCTTTCAGGCTACAGTGCTCACACCATTCTCTGTTAAAGGTCTCCGGGAGATGCCAGGGCTCTCCTTGCTCTGGGGCGTGTGGCCAGGAGTCCCTGGGTACCCACTCTGGCCTCAGTGCAACTCAACCCACACATTTTGTGCTTCTCTGACCATTCACCAGGTCCCCAAATTCCCAAAAAGCCCAATTGTAAACCCACACAGGGGCCTTGGTGCCCAGTTCCCCAGGTGGGCTGATGGGAGGCCTCAGGGACAAAGGCTTCCCAGCTGTTATCTGATGACCCAGAAGCCTGGCCACACAGGGCCACCCAGCTTCCCGGAGGAGCCCCTCCAAACTCTGACTGTGAGGTCTGGGTATTCAAGACTTTGCCTGGCGGCCTGGAAACCCACTTGGCTCTGAGTGGGTAAGATTTCGGTTTAGGAGAGAAGGTTAGGGTTGGGTGGTGAGTGTTAGGATTCTGGTTAGGATTAGGGTTTTGTTAGGGTGTGGGTGTTAGAGTATTAGGGTTGACATTAGGGTTTTGGGGAACCACCAGATGGCATAATGGTTATGTTGCTGGACTCTCACATGACTGACCATAGTTCAAGTCCTGGACCCAGAGGCTTAAAACTCATGCCGGGTGCGTGTGTGCCCAAAATCCCAAGAGGAGAATGGTGGAGAAGGGCCTGTGGCAGGCATGGTCATCTCCCCTTCTCTGTCACTGGCAGGTGGCATGGTGGTTAAGGGTGCTGGACTCCCACATGGCCAACCATGGACCTGGACCTGGCACCTTGCTTTCTCTCTTTCCCCCTCTCTCTTGCTCTGCCCCAGTTTGGTCAAATTAAAATAAATAAATAAAGCTAAATAGAATAATTCTTTTAAAAAATTAGGGTTTGGGTGTTAGTTTGGTAGCATGTTAATAGAGTTAAAATTAGGTTTTGGGTTAGAGATAGGGGTTAGTGTCAGAATTAGTTTCAGGGCCAGAAAGAGAGCAAGGACTAGGGCCAGGAAAAAAGTTAAAAGTGCAAAAAGATTATAAAATTACTTTTTTGAGTGTAAATTATTTAAAAAAGGATGAATAGAAAAGAAAGAAAATATTAGCAAAACTTTCCTTTGCGGGTGGGTAGAATTTTGTGATTTTATTTTTTTCTTAACGGGCTAGGGTAGTTTTTTGACAGGGTCTCCCCAAGCCACAGTCTTGCTGCCCCTGCCTCCCGGGTAGCTGGGACTGCAGGCACAGGCCACCAGGTTGTCTTGTGTAGGCTTGTCCTGGAGCCACCCCAGGCCTCCCACACAGCCCCCGCCTCCTCGTGCTGCCCTGCACTCGGCCGGTGTGATTTCTTTATAATGCTTTTAAAACTTGTCTCTGTGTGGTGGTGGTTTTCAGATATTTTGCCACGTGACCATTATTTTTATGTAGCATTAAGAGCCCTTCCCACGTCAGAGCAGCTGTTTTAGCCAGATGCTCGGGTATGCACCCCATGACATGCAACGGTGTGACTTCGAAAGTTACGTAACCTCTGCGAGCCCCAGTTTCTACCTCCTGAAAATAGAGACTAATTCCCTGCGACCTTATAGGGAGTTGTAAGGATTAAATAGTGGAAAGATGGAGCTATCAGGTGGTGTGGTTAAGGCTCTGGACTCCCACGTGGCTGACCGCAGTTGGAATCCCAGACCTGGCAGCTTGAAAATCCCACCTGGAACTTGTACCCAAAATTCCAGGAGGAAAGTGGAGGAGAAGGGATCGCAACGTGGCCATCCCCTCTGGGGGTGATCTCTCACTTTCTCTCTATCTCTCTGTCTCTCTTGGGAGCGTGCATGCGACCTATGGTAAAAAATCTAAAAAAGAAAATACATATAACA